GGGGCGTTTGGGTGAAGGGGAGAAAACTGGCTTCGCACGAATAAAATGAGGAGATGACAACGTGTGAGGAACCGAGGGTGTGGGCGGATGAGCTCTGGTTCCTGAGGGAACTGTGGGCCTGTTGGAGCGGGTCTAGAGCTGGAACTGAAGGTGCTGGGAGGGATGGAGCACCTCTGCTGTGAGGACAGGCTGGGAGAGCTGGGGCTGTTCAGCCTGGAAAAGAGGAGGCTCCAGGGAGACCTTAGATCCCCTTCCAGTACCTAAAGGGGGCTACAGGAGAGATGGGGAGGGACTCTTTTTCAGGGAGGGGAGCAATAAGGTGAGGGGTAACGGTTTTAAACTGAAAGAGGGGAGGTTTCAATTAGATATCAGGAAGAAATTCTTTCCTGTGAGGGTGGTGAGGCACTGGACCAGAAAAGCTGTGGTAGCCCCATCCCTGGAGGGGTTCAAGGCCAGGCTGGATGGGGCTTTGAGCAACCTGGTCTAGTAGGAGGTGTCCCTGCCCAGGGCAGGGGGTTGTAATTCAAGTATCTTTTAAGGTCCCTTCTAACTTGAACCATTCTGTGAAGACAAATCATGGGTCCCAAACAGGGCTGAGGTGGGCAATCTGCACCCAAATTTTTGCAGTGTTTGTGCCCAATAAGCAGAGTTAAATGTTCAATTTGTTTAACATCTGTGACGAAAGGAGCAGAGACACCAGCTTTTGATACTCATGCGACATTTCAAGAGGAGTAGGAACATTTAGCAGAACTGGGATTGCACATCAGTTTTGACGAAAGCTGTAACTGTCAGCCAACATGGCAATGTGTAGTAAAACCATCGACCAGCATGGCAATGTGTAGTAAAAGAGCCAAAAATGCAATGTCAAACATCCAGTAAGTGCAGTAGACCTTCCCGACTGAAAACTATTAATGTATAACATCTATGTTGCAGATATTAAAGAGATTAAAAGCTACCTGGTTCATAGATGTAAGCGATTAATTGTAAACAGACTGAAATATTTTGGGCAAAGACACACATGTATCTTTAGTCTGGTATTCCTCGATGTACTAACACTTGGGAATAAAATGCAAAGTTGTTGCTGGTAGTAGGTAGTGAATTGATAAGGAGAAGTCTCATGATGGGGGTTATCTAGATGACACTCTGCACAATAATCTTTTTATCTCTTTATCTAAGGAAATGAGGCTTAAGCAACTGCGGTATTGGGTGTTTCCTGTTCCATTCATCCTTTCCACCTCCAAGGACTTTCGAAAGTGCTGGCCTACTTAGTCACATTTGCAAATATGTACGCATCTGGAAGGTTAAATTCGTACAACTTCTGGGGAAAAAACAAAGGCAGTTACAGGTGAGAGAGAGAAGAAAAGGAAGGCAAAGCGCAGGTGTTACCCAGCTGGCCATGGCTGCATTTACTGCTTGGTTAGCAGGCACAGCTCTGGCTTGGGGCTTGTGCTTTTCTTGCACAGTGTATCATAGAATCATAGAGTGGTTTGGGTTGGAAGGGATCTTAAAGATCATCGAGTTCCAACCCCCCTGCCATGGGCAGGGACACCTCCCACCAGACCAGATTGCTCCAAGCCCCATCCAGCCTGGCCTTGAACACCTCCAGGGATGGGGCAGCCACAGCTTCTCTGGGCAACCTGTTCCAGTGCCTCGCCACCCTCAAAGGAAAGAATTTCTTCTTAATATCTAATCTAAATCTCCCCTCTTTCAGTTTAAAACCATCACCCCTCACTCACTGATAAAGAGTCCCTCCCCATCTCTCCTGTAGGCCCCCTTTAGGTACTGGAAGGCCGTTGTAAGATCTCCCTGGAGCCTTTTTTTCTCCAGGCTGGACAGCCCCAACTCTCAGCCTGTCCTCACAGGAGAGGTGCTCCATCCCTCTCATCATTTTGTGGCCCGCCATTGGACCCGTTCCAACAGGTCCATGTCCTTCCTGTGCTGTGTATCATGACACACCAGGGAGCGGCTGAGACCTTGGGTCACTGCTGTCATCAGAATTATGCACTGAAGACACAAACCCTCAAGAAACTATGTTTGGTAAAGTTCATTGCTTACCGAGGAGCTTGTAAATACGAGCAGTTTCAAGGTCATATTTCCAGGCATAAAGCATGAAGTCATACGGAATTGGGGTTATTCTGCCAGCAACTCAAGCATGAGTAATAACGGGAATAATGTTCTCACCTCTTACACCTTCCTTTTGCTGGAAGTTACCACTCCCATCCGGTAGAAATGACAAGAGAGAACATGTCCCTTCCTCATCCTCCAGGGCTTCAGAATGCAAACACATGCTGAATTTCATGGTTGCTTGAGTTATTATTCAGTTTGTGAACTAGAGGAGATTTGCTGCCAGTTTTTCTGACTCTGCTTCATGGGCAATAACCTCTTCTAGGAGTGAAGGGCAGAGAGCGAGGGACAGTGATCTCCATCCAGCAGGAATTCCAGCCCTTGGGAGGCAAGACAGACAGCCGGTTCGTGGCGGTGAAGCACGATACTACAAGAGAAAGTGCCTGATAATAGGATTAAAGTATTGAATTTTTCATGAAGAAGTTTAAGGGAAGACTTGGTCATTTTCTGCAAGAATTTACACGGAGAGAAGATTTCTGAGTGTAGATTCTCAGAAATCTGAGCAGCAGAAAAAGACATGAGATGCAATGACTGGAAGCTAAAGGTAGACAAGTTCAGGCCAGAGCTAAGGTTTGAACCTCAAGACTATCAAACCATTGGAACATTTTCCCTAGAGGTGTGTTAGTTTAGTCATCACGTGAAGTATTTCAGTCAAAACTAAGCATAAATTAGAAGTGACTGTGCTGGGTTAGATCAGAGTCCCTTCTGGCCCCATGTTGTGTTTCTAGAAGTGGCCAGCAAGGAAAGGGAGCTGGGTAGGTGATGGGATGGGGATCCCAGCAGCTGTTGGACTCATTTCGTTTCCCTCTGGGATGTTATGACAGGCCATGTCTTTTTGGAGAACACCACTGAACAGCACCCACATCTTCCTGAAGCTAAGTCCTAACCCCCCCCCAAGGGGGGGTCCTTGGAGAAAAGCTATTCCAAAACTTGGGGTCTATCTTTATGTCTTTTTAACTTACACTGTGTATTTTAAGTAAAAGTTTTAGTCTTGATGCAAAAAATGGTGACAATTTCTGCCCTACTTTATATAGAAGATCACGTCAGTGATGCCTCTGGTTTCTGTTAGCCCTGAAATTGCTGAGTAAAATTTGTTTGCAGCAAAGTTGGTAATAAAAAAAATAAAATTCATTGATTTCCGTGGATTATTGCAGTCTCTAATTGCAGTCTCTAATCCTGAACCCAAAGCAGTGACTTGAAATGGTTTGGTTGATATGCTGGTGCCCTATCAGCATGTTTCAGCGAGGCTGGGAAGAGAAATAGGGAGAAAAAGCACGAGAGAAGTAACTGAAGTGAAGTACAGCATTTGCTGTGTCTCCACAATATCAAGCACAGCTTTGCACATCTGTTTCTGGGTAAATCTGGCTTTCCTGAAAACTCTGCTGCAGGTAACAAACCGACTTGTTATCATTCTATCACATTAACAGGGTAAGTCCATCATCAGTAATTTACTCGATGGTTAGCAAGGTTTTGCCTTCAGCAAAATCCATCATCTGAGTACCAGTGCTTCAATTCTATAAATTAAGTACATATAAATAAGCCACGAAGATGATCAGAGGGCTGGAGCAGCTCTCCTGTGAAGACAGGCTGAGAGAGTTGGAGAGCCTGGAGAAGAGAAGGCTTCAGGGAGACCTTAGAGCCCCTTCCAGTACCTAAAGGGGCTACAGGAGAGATGGGGAGGGACTCTTGATCAGGGAGAGGAGAGATAGGACGAGGGGTGATGGTTTTAAATTGAAAGAGGGGAGATTTAGATTAGATACTAGAAAGAAATTCTTTCCTGTGAGGGTGGTGAGACACTGGAACAGGTTGCCCAGAGAAGCTGTGGATGCCCCATCCTTGGAGGGGTTCAAGGCCAGGCTGGATGGGGCTTTGAGCAACCTGGTCTGGTGGGAGGTGTCCCTGCCCAGGGCAGAGGGGTTGGAACTTGAGGATCTTGAAGGTCCTTTCCAACTCTAACCATTCTATGATTCTATGAATAAAGATGTATATATTCACTGAGACATGGAGACTGTTTAGTAGAGAGAGAAAAGGAACCAGCATGTTACTCAGAAATGTGAGTCCATAAACAAAATAAGATTGAAAAAATATTATATTTTTTTTTTAAAAGGGAAAAAAAGCAGTGTGGCTGTATTTGCAGCAGTGTATACCACAGAATATTTACACTGAAGATTAGATTAACTGATGCGATTTGATGGTTTAACAAATTACTTTGGGGAAAAAAAGCTGAAGGGAGAATAAGAGTAAACAAGTTGAAGAGATCTCTTCAATGCGCCGGAATTATTTCTTAATCCTTTTGGTTCTCGTTATGAATGATTCCTGCCTGCAAAGCCATTCTGTTCATGAAGAAGACTTTAAAACATGTATCACCACACCAAAAGGTCGCTGTGAGCATCCAGCAGAGAGGAGGAAAAAGACCTGACTGGTGTTACCCTGTGAGTGATACCAGATCAGCTAAGAATTTGGGCATTTATGCCGTCATTCCTTTACCTGCATGTTTCAATTTTTTTTGTTGGTTTGTCTTTCTGCATTTTTTTCGGCCATTAGAGAAATACGTGTGAAAAGTATAACCCTTCTAAAACAAAAAGAATCTGTTTTAAAACACGCTGTTTGCAAGCTCTTGGGATGTTTTAGGAAGAAGTGGCATGGCAATTAGTATTAAGGGAACCTAAGGCATCGTAAATAGTGAAGCGGTAAGGGTTTTTTTTCCTCTCTTTGCTGAAATATATTGTAATTCTTCCCAGTTCTCACCAGGTGGCAATAGCATGGCCATAAAAGTCTCGTTTTACTGAAGTGGGGAACAGTTAGCCATGAGGAAGTGATGTATCCCTGTGCTGCAATCGTCCAGGAAACAGATTAAAGTCCCCAGCAAAGTTCAGATTTCCGTCTAACTTCATCTTTTGCGTGCAGAGCTATAGCCAGTATTGAAACTATTACTTGCTAAGCCTCCAGGTTTTCATTTAACTTGTATCATTTAACTCTTTTCTTTTTTTCATTTTTTTGGGTTTTTTTTTTTTTATTTATTTTAAGAACTTGGATTGTCAAGAATTCATGATGAAGAGCCCTCTTTTGTCCCTCTTACTTGTCTCCGTTCTATTTATGAACAGCTTCTCAGAAGTGCAGGGAAGGAAATGGAAAGGTGAAGGTACAACACAAAACCTGGAAAATATTGCCACTGGAAGATGCTATGACTATACTAGAATTGTGAATCCTGCTGTTGGGTAAGTTTTTGCTGGTTTATGGATTACTTTTTTATGTTCTGTAACAAAAGGGTCACTAATCAGAAGCTTGATGTTTTGTTCCTAGACGGGAAAGTCATGATCCTATTGAAGCCAACATACTTGTGGCTGGCTGGAAACAAAAAATTCAGCTTTTTATATCGCATTTCTCCTCCCCCTAGTGCCACAGTGTTCTCTAAAGAGAACACCACAAGGAAATGGTGGAGGTGGTATTTCTGAAGTACTAACTCTGGCAGTGCTCCTGGGAAGACCAGCTTTACTTTGCGTGCCTCGTATGGCAGGTCACCTAAGAGGGAAAATGCCACACTTTATAGCTATATCCTGTAGTACTGAAAGAGCCTGTTTAGCTCATCCACCTGAAAAATCAAGTAGTAATCCACTGCTGAAGTATAATCACCCATGAGCTTTCACTGCCAGCATTAATTACACAGAACTGGGCAAAAGTCACGTACTTTGCTAAAATTACCACTTTTTTCTTTCGTCCTTATGTTATTTGGGCTTCAGTAAAAAGGGAAAAAAAAAATCTAAGAAGGACAGCCTCCTGGAGTTCAGTCCTTTATTCTGCCACTGAAATTCTTCTCGATAGACTGAAGTGGTATTTGCAGAGAGGGCCTGGCTGGGTTTCTGCAGCACTGAACTGTGGTCTTAGAACAGGTTTAGTTTGTGTTGCATCATATCAGCAAATATCACCTCCTTCCCCCAACCTCCCATTTTCAGTTCCTGCTGCAAAACAGGAAGATACAGGTTGATGGCTTTTAACAAAGGCAAAGCAACATGTTTCTTCCTTTATAACATTTTTAATTTATAAGAGGCATTTCTTCTCGTGAAAGAAGAAATCCTCCTAATGCCAATAACACGGTACTAAAATTTCAGCTGAACAATTCAAGTTTGGCAAATTTATAAACACGTCACAGTGGAAGGTGCCAGTAAACTTTAACTATAGGCTTCTACACACCTACAAGATAATATATTGTATAAACTATAACAACTTAAGTCAGTTAACGGTTGTGTTGGTATATGAAATCTGGTCTTGCAATAGGCTCTAGATAAGGTAAAGTTCCTATTGGAGTTAACAGCTCTCCGTTTACATCTGAAGCAAGACATGACTAGTAATAAAGAATACACTAAAATGAGCAACATAAAGGATTGTTACTATGGAAATGTTTAACTTTATCGTTAACTGATTGGGACTTTTAGAAATGTAAATACAGAATCCTTGAAAGTATTTCAATATGTCTCGTGTTTATGACAGTTTTGTGGTCTAGTTAATTCCTGTGACATTTTCACAGTATAATTTTAAAACTGAGAAGTCTGAACACATTCATCAAAGTATTCTTGGTCAGAACAGCATGAAGCCAGGCTGCACATTAGGACTGCTTTCCTGAGTTAAGGTCCAAAATGACATTATAAAAAGAAGCGCTGCACGATTAATTTCATGTTATGTATTTTTTCTCTTTCCCTTAGGTCTATAAGAAAATAGCATAATCTAAACAAAATGGAAATTTCATATTGCACAGGTGCAAAACAGATATTCCAATTATTTACAACCCTTTCTGTTCATTGTCTGTTTCTTAATTGCCCCCAGGCTAGCTTTTACAGAGGCATGGCCACCTGGGTAGTTTTGCTTCTGAATTTATGTGCGAATTAAATATTTTTAAAAAATACTTTGCAAACGGAAAAGAAGCTAGAAAAGCATGTCTTTACACTGCAACATAGTCAAAACATAAAGATGTTTATAGAAACAGAAGAAAAACTTCCCCTTAACATTAAAACAGAACATGCAAAATAGCAGCTAAAAGATGCATTTTACAAAATGTTATGGTCATGTAGAAGTGTGAGATTTGGATGAAAATCATGTTTGAAATTTTCTGGTAGGAGTACAAATGTTGCTGTAGTGCATTTCCCCTGTATTTACTTGTAGTATATAATGGAAGTTTTGAAAACATTTTTTGTTTTTTAACAGACTAGTAGGAAGTAAATCTAATATGACTTATTAGTGTCTATTAAGACTGGAAGGAATTGTCCTGAACTACAGTCTTTCCCCACCCTGTAGTTTCAAAAAGTATTTTTGCCAGCTAAGAAATTTGGAGTAACAGGGCAGAATAATCCTTTTGGTTTACAAGCTGTTCAAACCTGGATGAGAAGACATGAAGAAAAAAAATGCAATATGTGAATTAACCAGAAAATTACTGCTGGATTCAACTGTCAAGAAAGATGTTAAAGAGTTCAGTTGATCATAATTTACAAGTACTAGCATGAATAACTGAGTGCTTACAGTACACAGCCCTTCAGCAGAAAGAGAGATAAGTATATACAGTTGTCAGCAGCTAAAATTTAACAGCTTTACATCAGAAAAAGGGTGTGAATCCTTTTATCAAGTAGGGCTATTTAAACATTGGAACTACTGGTCAAGGGTCATATTGTATGACTAAAGATTTCCAGATCAAGATCCCCTATGTGCTTACAGAATACTGGGTTTTTCTATATAAAGATCAAGATCCCTTATGTGCTTACAGAATACTGGGTTTTTCTATGTAGCTGTGGGAAGCACGACCAGAGATGACTGTAAGGGGCTCTGTGGTCTGTTTCCTGCACGGGAGCTGCGTCCCTCATCACAAGGGGTCCTTCAACTTTAAAGTGTCTGTGAGACTCAACATCACAAAGCAGCTCCTTAAAGAATCTCATCAGGAGAAGCGCCAGCAGAAACCCTGCTGTTTATGGATGACAGTAAATGAGCAAAACACTCTAATGGCACAGTTTGGTTTACTAATCAGGACTGCTGCTGTTCAAGCCACAGCTTGGCCGTTGCAGCTGTGTGCACATAAAATACATTATTCTGTTCTGCCCAGTGTTCCCAGCGTAGACGTTGTCACAGCAGATGTGGGGAAGGTGCTGTGGGGAAAGTGGTGAAAGTAGCAATTCCCTTTTTAATTACTCCAGGCAGGCTCAGAGCTGTGACAGATGAGATCCCGCAAATCCAGGGAGATAAGACACTCCCGTCCCTGGGTGGCTTGTCCTGTCCTTCTGCAGGAGATTATTGTCCCCAAGGCAGAGCTGGCAGAAGGGGACCTCTGAAGTGCACAGCCCAGCATCTTATTTCAGACCTCCCTTCACAAGCAGATAAATGTTGAATCCTGACAGTATTCTTGTAGCTACTTCACAGTGACAGCACGTGTCCCATGCTCGTGGTGCTCATTCCATCCAGGTAAAGCTGCACAGTCCTGGGGCCAATATAGACAGAAGGCATCTCTTTGTCAAAATCATTATTCTGTCATTGAAACTGTTTAGTAACTCCTCCTGCACTCCAATCTGACATTTTAAGATTAGTTTTATATTTACATTTCAGCTATGCTTTAATTGAAATGGCTTTTTGAATCCGGAAGATTTCAAAGAAAAGCATTTTCTTTAGTATTTCTACAATGCTGGACAGTGTATACTGTACCTTCCAAGATTTTTGTTGAATTAGGATGTATTTCTAATTCCACACTGTAAATCCTAATGTTTTCCTTGCTTTCCTTCCTAATCTGCTCCTGTCAGGAGTCAGGAAGAGACAAGATCTATGTGTTCTTCCTGGGTTTGCAAGTTTTCCATCACCCTGACTTCAGTTTTGTATCTTAAACTTGTGGGCATTTCAGTTAGGGAATTTGAAGAAGTTGGAAACAAATTACTTTCTTGCTCTGCTTTGAAAAAACAATTCTGCTATTGTTTGTTTCAATTATTACAGTGAGAAAAATTGTTCAGCGATGTGGGAAGCGTTTAAAAATGCATTTATTAACAAGGATCCTTGCAACATTCTACCTAAGGACTATGAATTATTCATCAACCTGTCATTGCACACAATTCCACCTAGCAAGGTAATGATTATTAATGTTACGTTCAGAGTCCTGTGACATCCAGCAGATTTTCCGTGACACGGTTCCAGATTGACCAAGAGTCATTCTGTGGGTGACTCGTGATCCCTTATTTTTGGCCTGTTTGTAGTTTACAGATGGCATTTTTCAGTGTGTTTGGCTGCATTTATTTTACGCGGTAACTTCTCGGCAGCTTCTCTCTTTTCCTACCAAAGATCCCCCATTTTTCCTGCTGTGCCGTGGGCTCTGCCGTGGTCCCTCAACTTCCCCTTCTGCTTTGCCTCACGTTAGGTGCTCTGCTGGCAAAGACTCTGCCTGCTATCGTCTTTTGCTTCCGCTCCTCACAGCCAAGTCTCAGGGCAATGACTTGTTAAACATCAACACGTTAAACAAGCAAAAGCAGAAATGAGGTAAGAGGCTGTTATATGTTGGAAAACAGTGAGGGTTTGATGTGCTGGAAGTACAAAACCCACGACTCTTCATGCCATCCTGTCCCATCAGAACGTGCCGTTTGGCTTTCTCTTAAAAAATTGTGCTTTCAAACAGTTTTTCCTCCAGCACAATTATTCCTTATCTCTAAATGATACAGACCAAACCAATACATACTCCTGTCAACATGGCTCGATTCATGAGAGAGTTTTTGCAAACACAGAAATAGCAGCTAGACCTATGATTTTTTTCACACCATAAGCCAACACAGTAGTGTGAGAGAATTCTGATAAGCTGTATCTGGCTTATAAATATATGCCTTCCCTTTTTTATTCCCTTTCCCTAGGTCTGTATGCTGAGGAAGGCAAAGCTAGGCCTAACTATATTAAATATAGGTCTATCTCTATAACCATCACGCCCCTCAAGCCTCTAGTGATCAGAATTCACACCACTGTAAAAAAAACAATTTTCATCCTCTAAAGAGGTAGCTAACATTTCGGGTTACTAGCTTTATTTTGAAAGAAATACCAAAACGTGTTTTAAACTGTTTTTGACACCCCATAATCTCATTGTGTCCATACCCAAATGACGGTTCATTTCTTCTCTATTTATTTTTTTTTTTTTTCCGTTTTTTATATAGTCTCTCTTCTGGGAAAATAACCAGCTGCTGGTCAATACCTTTGCTGGCAGAGGCCGTCGCTTCATGTCTCTGGGAGATACTCTGTTTGGCTTCTTTGGAGATTTTCTGAACTGGTGTGGGCAGGCAGGGAGCACTGGTAAGACGACGGGTGCTATATTCAACATCTCTCTGTAAAACCATAATGGGACCGACTGCCTGTGTTCTGGAGGAGCTAATTTTGCTCCCACCCCACAAAAAAGCAGGGGTAGCTCCACTCTCTCGTTCCCTCCTGCTTTGGGTGAATATTTGACGTTGCAGGCAGGGGAGCACACGGTGAAAAATGGAAACAGTGCTGTGCTGGAGATAAACCTCCTGCTCAGTCCCCTGAGTGTGGAGCTCTCTGCATCCTGCGTATAGAGTTAGAGCCATTTCAGCCAAATTATGAAATCCATAGAATGTCTCTGTTTGTGTAAACTGCAAAGGGTGGGAAATGACAGAAAAAAATCCCAGCTTTCAGCGTTACGTCAGACCATCCTGTACGCTCAATGAGTAACACGCAAATATATTTAATCACTTTCTAAGGTCACTTTTTATGACCGTTACCATCCCTCTGATAGCACAAATCACATGCCTTTCTACAGAACCGGACTATGAATCCTGCCCTACCATGGAGGACTGTGAAAACAACGCGGTGGACTCTTTCTGGAGGATGGCCTCCATCACTGTGAGTAGAGCGTTGGTGCTGCCTTCGTGCATTGGGGAGTGTGTCCCTGGAGGGTCAGGAAAGCAGCACCAGATCAAAACAGATCAAAGCCTAGATACAAATACACTTTTTTAGACCAGGTGCAGTGTTTTAGCAAGAGGAACCTAACTTTCACTTCAGCTCCATAATGCATTAAAATTCTGTGTTAGCTTTGTTAATCTATATTAAGCATATACTCACACTAGTTGCCTACTGAATACAGGCCCTAAGTGACATTTGGTCTTTATTCACAGATCAAACCCAACACAGAGTGCCAAAATGCTTTCTTCTTGTGCTGAAAAAACCTATTTATAGGTGTGAGAAAATTGTTTGAAAAGGTGCACTGAATTAACTCATTGGCTATTTAGTTCTTGTCCTCTCTGCTGCAGTGGCCTGCGACAATGCTAGTTCAGTATTCTTTTCAGAATTCTAATATTCTTGGTAAAATTCTTTCCTTGGTCATTGTGGCTTGCATAACGCCGAGTCATATGACAAATCTGTAAGATGAGTTCTGAAAAAAAAAATAATTGTTATGTATTTCAGTACGCAAAGCAGAGCTCTGGGGTGATACATGTCTTGTTGAACGGTTCTTCTGTCGGAGGAGCTTATCCAGAGCCAGGGTAAGAAAACGGACTTATTTCTGTGTACAAGGTCTGATGCCTACAAAAAAAAGCATCAGCCAGTTGTTTGGGTCTTCCACTGCACAACGCACGGGAAGTGTAGCTGAAAGAGGCTGTTGCATCAAAGTCTGTTGAGTTGTGGGGACAACTGTTAATTGTCCCCAGCTGTAGGAATTAACATGAAATGGATGGAAACAATCCTTTTGACTCCCACATTCTACAAACTGCTGTGGCAAGCAGGATAAATGCTCTTTGAAAGCAGCCTTCAAGTCAGCCAATGCACTGTGGCAAAATGTGTCCGTCGTGAAAAAGATGACTTGTTATGAAATTTCTGTTCAGGGACATGTCCAAGGAGAGGACATCCTTACAGGGAGTGTAGCCTCTGTCAGGCCTAGGGGCAAACTTTGTAAGTTCTGCAGTGAAAGTGTTTGTTCCTGCTGTTTCTTCGTGACCAGGAGAGGAGGTACTGTGAGATCCATCGTGGATTAAGAGAGCAAAAATGATCTTTGAGAAGAATAATAGCAAGGAGTGGCTTCCTTTTCTCCTTATTTCCTTATATATAAAGGACAGATGTATTTCCCCTGATTTATAGGTGTGCTACTAGGCAGAAGTTCATCTAAGCTTATAATGGAAATTTATTGTAAAAACACACCCTTAAGAAGTCTTATTGAATATGTGGCTGTTGTGACTGCCTGCTTTTGATGAAAAATACATCTTTTCTCACTCAGTTACTGGCTTGTCCAAGGCAGATTTAAAAAAAAATAAATTAAAAAGCCCATAGAACAGATTCTACTCCTGTGTGTTCACTGAAGACTAAAAATAAACATTGAAAAGTAAATTTTATCTCCAGATAGAAGAGAAACAAGAACCATCTGTTCCAAAACACCCACTCACCTCCATGGTTCAAAAGATCCATCTCCCTACACAGCTTTCAGTTAATCAAGAAGATTTATATGGTCTCCTTGGGTTGGTTGGGTGGTCAGCTGGGATCAAGTCTTCTGCTGATGATAACGCTTCGCAGCTGGTCAATGTCCAGAATCCAGTATAGAGTCCTTATTTCAGAAACAGGTTCCTTATTTCTGTTAATCTACACATTCCTTATTTCAGAAACCCATTACACATAAGTTAATTCTTTACACCAGTTCCCTGGGTTACCTGCCTGGTGGTGTCATGACCAGTGACACTTCTACCCCTGGAACACAGCCTGCCATGAAAACAAAAAACAAAACTGGTTACTCCATCTGTTTTCTTTGCTGTGTATCTCCTGGCCCATTTGTAACTGAATTCATTTAAGAGATCTTGTTTGAAAGAGGCTTGGAGTTGAATAATTAATAGCCGAAAGTAATCTGAAAGATCTGCCTGTCTTCCTAAACATTTCTCTGCTCTGTTTTCAGGCACTTCAAAGCCACTTCTAAAGTTTATCCTGAGTTAGTTTGTACACTTAAATAATCATTAAGTCACCTGTTACCATTTCAGTTAAAGTTTATTTCTCACTTCACTGTAAAATAACTTTGCTCATCTGCACAGTTTGCATTTAGTTGGCAAACTTCTTTAATAACATTAGTTGTTTCAAAAATTGGTTTACTGAAGCCAATTGTACACTGTTTTTCCACAGTTTCTGACTCCTCTAGTTAAAGATTTCTTTATGTTTTGGAGAAAGCTGCATTTTTGCTGGCAATAATATTTGCATGAATGAGCAAATGAATTAAAAATAACTGGAATCTTTAGCTTTGGTTATATTTGCACTATGTATTTAAGACAAGGTTGGACACCTCAGACGGACAGACAAACCTGCTGCTGCTTCTACTGGTCTCTGGTTAGTCACCCCTAACTGGAGCTGACCAGAGAGGGCAACTGTTGGCATCCGCCTCCTCATATTCCACTTCTTCAGAAGTTTAAATTAACTTGCTAAATTAATGACCAGGTCTCAACTGGCTGCCAACAGAGCCTCCACACCACGGCACCAGTAGTTTGCCTGCAGGCACTAGGATAACAGAGCAGTGGTCACATTGCCACCACTGGTCTCGTACAGGAGGTGACAACGAATAGTCCCTTCTACTCTGGGGGGGTCTCAGAGCATTTAAAGTGGCTAAGAGACACTCCAGCCCAGATGGAGACATTTAAGACCCACGATAAGCAAATTAGAGCACACACCTAGGCTCAGGCTTGGACCAAGCGTTCGGTGGAAACACAGCCCTTAGAAGCTTTCTGAAAGGGGTGAAAAGAAAAAGAGCAATTAAAAAGTTGGAAATCATGACAGTACGCCTTGATGGAAGGGTTAGAAATCTGTGGCTTTGAAACACTTGCACCTCACAAAAAAAATCAATTTGCAGGCATTAAAATAATCCTTTGGATTTGACATCTTTAGATTAGATAGTAGGAGGAAATTCTTTGCTGTGAGGGTGGTGAGACACTGGAACAGGCTGCCCAGAGAAGCTGTGGCTGCCCCATCCCTGGAGGGGTTCAAGGCCAGGCTGGATGGGGCTTTGAGCCACCTGGTCTGGTGGGAGGTGTCCCTTGATCTTCCAACCTGAACCATTCGGTGATTTAGTTGCCATTTTATTTTTTTTTGTTGTAATTGTTATTTAAATACCTATCAAAGTCAATTTACACAAAGCAATAAAGTGGAAGATTCCCTTGGGGAGGGTTGGACACGTCTAGAAGTTTCTCCTTTATGGTCTTATGTATCCTAGACAAATACTTCATGTTGCCATTGCTGTGATTTTGTAGCTAAAAATATATTTGTCTTGAGGCTGTTTTTTTTTTTATTTAAAGTAAAGTTGTATCTAAAAGCAATAACTACAAGAATGACCTTTTTCTTTTTTACTAAGTATCAAATCTTTTCAGGATTTTTTTGTATTTTTTAAAGTTCACTTCGTTCTGGTTCACCTCTAAGTTGTAACTTTTTTTTCAGCTGAGCCCCACTAAGGATGAAGAATATGAAAACAAAGCTTCTGATTAAATAAATGCCTTTGACCTTTGAGGACATTCCGAATGTGAATCAGATTTTCTCATCTCTGTATCGAGTCTGATTGTAATCAGAAGATAAAAACGTAAAATCGAGCAATAGTTGCCATTTTATTTTTTTGTTGTAATTGTTACTTAAATACCTATCAAAGTCAATTTACACAAAGCAATAAAGTGGAAGATTCCCTTGGGGAGGGTTGGACACGTCTAGAAGTTTCTCCTTTATGGTCTTATGTATCCTAGACAAATACTTCACGTTACCATTGCTGTGATTTTGTAGCTAAAAATATATTTGTCTTGAGGCTGTTATTTTTTTATTTAAAGTAAAGTTGTATCTAAAAGCAATAACTACAAGAATGACCTTTTTCTTTTTTACTAAGTATCAAATCTTTTCAGGATTTTTTTGTATTTTTTAAAGTTCACTTCGTTCTGGTTCACCTCTAAGTTGTAACTTTTTTTTTCAGCTGAGCCCCTCTAAGGATGAAGAATATGAAAACAAAGCTTCTGATTAAATAAATGCCTTTGACCTTTGAGGACATTCCGAATGTGAATCAGATTTTCTCATCTCTGTATCGAGTCTGATTGTAATCAGAAGATAAAAACGTAAAATCGAGCAACCCCTTATCCTACAGAAGGATCAGAGCCTTGATTAATGCAAAGGGGAAAAAGATTATTTCTTTTTCATGTTCTTAATAGTTCTAAAAATTTGTTTCTTGAATCAGTTTTTTTGCAGATTATGAAATACCTAATCTCCAGAAAGACAAAATCTCACAAATTGTCATCTGGGTTGTGGATGATATCAAAGGACCAGATAGGTAAGTTATGTCTTCAAAAAAAATTAATTTCTCCTTTTTCTGACCTGTCTTTAAAATTTCACCTTAGCTTTCAGTTTGATTATATTTGCATAGCAATTAGACTACAAATATTTTGGATGCTCTCACTAAGACAGAAGGCAGACCCTGCTCTTCCCAAAGATTATAGTCATACCAGAATCGGACAAAATATAAATACATTCTAATATTAGTTCTGGAGTCCACTCTTAGTTAGAGAGATGCGTGTGTGGATCTCAGATCTTGAGTGAAGATATAGCACGTACAGTTTTACCAAGAAAAGCGTCAATCTGAATTTTAGATTAAAAACTGACAGGAAATAATTCTTTCACCTTGCCATATGCATTCTTTTCATTTTCACCTGTATTAACTGTTTGAAAATTAGTAGAGACAGGGAAATACCACCAGGGGGCTCATCTTCTCTCAATACTTAAATCTAATAGTAAAAAATAGGCTTTAAACATCTAATTTTGCTGTTAACAAACAAAAAAAAAATTTCAGTCCAAACAGAATAGCTTGTTGGTCAATAGCCAAAGACCATGTGACAATTTGCAACAGAAACATAATGGAAGAAACAAAAAAACCCATTTTAGTCCAAACAGAATAGCTTGTTGGTCGATAGCCAAAGACCCTGTGACAATTTGCAACAGAAACATAATGGAAAATTGATTCTGAATTAAAAAAATGAAATCATTAGGCCTCGTTTGGAACTGATAAAAGGATGAATTAAACAGTCTGTTTGAAAAAAAAACAAACATGCAGCTCACCTTTGCAAAGGTCACCCTTATTACAATGAAAAATTAAGAAAAACACTGGGTGTTAATTTATCTTTCAGTTTGTGCTTGTCTGGGTGCATGGGAATATTAGTGTATTTTTATTAATTGCTTTTTACAATTATTTTGTTGGTCCTTATATGATTTCTTTAGAGTCAGGAGTATTTATTGACCAATGGGTAAGTAGCACTGGCCTTAATACTTGACATCAGTGCAAGTTTTAGAGGTCTCAGTAGGTTCTGTACCATGCTAAACTTTCATTTGCTAATTGCACCACAAATTAAAAAATCAGTGCTAGACACATAAGCTATGTCTAGGACTGTTTCTGGTTTTTCTCCCTTCTTGTGTTTTTCTATTGTTCTGTATTCAAGAGAGACGAAGAAGCTTCTAACAAGAAGAATAATTCTAATTTATTATAACCAACTTATTCTGGAAAGACAGCTAGCATCAACTTTAGCACTACCAAAATAGTTGCCAAATAATATTACAAATGAAACACTTACTTAACTATTTTACAAACTTATTTAGCTTTTTTTCTGTTTGTCTAGTGAAATATTAAAGGTGGGAGTATTGGTTAACGGAATCTGCAAATGCTACACTGGCTGAAGCCAATCTTCCAGTCTCTGCAAACTCAGTATAAAATATTAAACCACTATAAATAGCAACATACACCAGTTTTCCATAGGTGTTAAGGAATATAGAAGAGGCAAAGTAACAGGGATTTACTTTACTAATTCCATCAAGTTCTGTGAAAGGAAATTAGATAATAACAGACTTGCAATAATACTGAAATCCTTTCTGACAGAGATTCCTGTGGAACTAATACTGTAAAGAAATTAGAAAACAGGCTGAAAACCCTTGGGTATGATGTCACCTGCACTGACAATTACAAGTAAGTGTAAATCCTTCATAAATATGGTGTATTTGTAGAAGCACTTCATCTGTTTTAAATGATTCCCTGCCTTCTGATACTTAAGTGTCATTAATGTTGTGTCTTCAGTATGAGACTGATAGGTTGGAGGGCAATGTCACATCTTTCAGCCTTAGCATTTTTCAGCCATGAATTGAGCAAAAGACTACACCGTATTGTATAATTGTATTATTAAGTGGAACATTGTACTTACCCAGCGTCTGACACAGAAGATAGCCTCATGTGTTCCACTCCACTGTAAAATCTTGATTTGGATAAAAGATTATTTCTTTTTCATGTTCTTAATAGTTCTAAAAATTTGTTTCTTGAATCAGTTTTTTTGCAGATTATGAAATACCTAATCTCCAGAAAGACAAAATCTCACAAATTGTCATCTGGGTTGTGGATGATATCAAAGGACCAGATAGGTAAGTTATGTCTTCAAAAAAAATTAATTTCTCCTTTTTCTGACCTGTCTTTAAAATTTCACCTTAGCTTTCAGTTTGATTATATTTGCATAGCAATTAGACTGCAAATATTTTGGATGCTCTCACTAAGACAGAAGGCAGACCCTGCTCTTCCCAAAGATTATAGTCATACCAGAATCGGACAAAATATAAATACATTCTAATATTAGTTCTGGAGTCCACTCTTAGTTAGAGAGATGCGTGTGTGGATCTCAGATCTTGAGTGAAGATATAGCACATACAGTTTTACCAAGAAAAGCGTCAATCTGAATTTTAGATTAAAAACTGACAGGAAATAATTCTTTCACCTTGCCATATGCATTCTTTTCATTTTCACCCGTATTAACTGTTTGAAAATTAGTAGAGACAGGGAAATACCACCAGGGGGCTCATCTCTCAATACTTAAATCTAATAGTAAAAAATAGGCTTTAAAAACATCTAATTTTGCTGTTAATTTAATTTTAAAAAATAAATAAACAAACAAAAAAAAAATTTCAGTCCAAACAGAATAGCTTGTTGGTCAATAGCCAAAGACCATGTGACAATTTGCAACAGAAACATAATGGAAAATTGATTCTGAATTAAAAAAATGAAATCATTAGGCCTGGTTTGGAACTGATAAAAGGATGAATTAAACAGTCTGTTTGAAAAAAAACAAAACCATACAGCTCACCTTTGCAAAGGTCACCCTTATTACAATGAAAAATGAAGAAAAGCACTGGGTGTTAATTTATCTTTCAGTTTGTGCTTGTCTGGGTGCATGGGAATATTAGTGTATTTTTATTAATTGCTTTTTACAATTATTTTGTTGGTCCTTATATGATTTCTTTAGAGTCAGGAGTATTTATTGACCAATGGGTAAGTAGCACTGGCCTTAATACTTGACATCAGTGCAAGTTTTAGAGGTCTCAGTAGGTTCTGTACCATGCTAAACTTTCATTTGCTAATTGCACCACAAATTAAAAAATCAGTGCTAGACACATAAGCTATGTCTAGGACTGTTTCTGGCTTTTTCTCCCTTCTTGTGTTTTTCTATTGTTCTGTATTCAAGAGAGACGAAGAAGCTTCTAACAAGAAGAATAATTCTAATTTATTATAACCAACTTATTCTGGAAAGACAGCTAGCATCAACTTTAGCACTACCAAAATAGTTGCCAAATAATATTACAAATGAAACACTTACTTAACTATTTTACAAACTTATTTAGCTTTTTTTCTGTTTGTCTAGTGAAATATTAAAGGTGGGAGTATTGGTTAACGGAATCTGCAAATGCTACACTGGCTGAAGCCAATCTTCCAGTCTCTGCAAACTCAGTATAAAATATTAAACCACTATAAATAGCAACATACACCAGTTTTCCATAGGTGTTAAGGAATATAGAAGAGGCAAAGTAGCAGGGATTTATTTTACTAATTCCATCAAGTTCAGTGAAAGGAAATTAGATAAGAACAGACTTGCAATAATACTAAAATCCTTTCTGACAGAGATTCCTGTGGAACTAATACTGTAAAGAAATTAGAAAACAGGCTGAAAACCCTTGGGTATGATGTCACCTGCACTGACAATTACAAGTAAGTGTAAATCCTTCATAAATATGGTGTATTTGCAGAAGCACCTCATCTATTTTAAATGATTCCCTGCCTTCTGATACTTAAGTGCCGTTAATGTTGTGTTTTCAGTATGAGACTGATACGTTGGAGGGCAATGTCACATTTTTCAGCCTTAGCATTTTTCAGCCATGAATTGAGCAAAAGACTACACCGTATTGTATAATTGTATTATTAAGTGGAACATTGTACTTACCCAGCGTCTGACACAGAAGATAGCCTCATGTGTTCCACTCCACTGTAAAATCTTGATTTGGACTGAAATTCTAAATAACGGTTAAAAACACTATTGAATATCTGGAGAATTCCTAGTTATTCACAGTAGATTGTAAGATAAATATAACAGAAGGGAAGCTGTAGACCTGATAGTACTGTTGAGTTTGTTTCGTTTTTTCATGTTTTCCTCAGTTTCCTGCTTGAAAGATGCTAAATAAAATGGTATCTTCACATTTTTTCATGTTTTCCTCAGTTTCCTGTTTGAAAGATGCTAAATAAAATGGTATCTTCACAGGTCTGTCATGTTCTTACTCTGCCTGGATTACCCTGATGATCCTCAGTGTACCCTCTCATCGTAAGTAAAAGAAGTTCAGTCCATCCTCACTGTCCTTACAACCAAATAAATAATGCAGAAGTCATCAGTTCAACAGATTCCATTCCTATTGTCTATTATATATCACCCATACACAATATACAGTATCCTTGAATTTATTACTTAATTGAGTAAGGAGTTTCTGCCTACAAATTGCATACAATTGTCTGTGAGCACCTGCTATTCAAAATCAGGTGTTAATCAGTACTCATCAATCACACAATCACTCCGTAAATCACCAATGGTATGAATGAATTTTGTAAATATCAGTGTTCTGATGCAAAATCTATTACAAATTTGAAATTAATTAATATTCTTCCTTGAATAATGAAGTTGTAAGTCAAATGGCAACAGATCTAAGGGGCATTTCTCCAGTGACTGGAACTTTTGATTCCAAATTTTGAGGAAGTTTCTTTTTAATCTTCCATTTTGTGTGCAAACCCAATTTCTATATTTCAACGTATTTACCTTGGGCCAGTAGGTTATCTGCAGAGAATGCAAATTACATCCAAGATAAAACTTTCCTAATTAGCAATCATCACTCCCAAAGAAGGTTTTAGTAATTTCCTTTCCAATCCATATTTTTCTTTATTATATAAAGAGGATTAATTTATGATTAACAGTGAATTTACAGTAAAGATGGCTGTTTTCAATTGTGGCTAAGTTTCTTAATCTATATGCTGTTACATGCATAGTACACACAAGGTACTTGAACATCTGAATATTAAAAATTCCTCACAGTTTGGAAAGTTGCAGGATACCTAGGTGTATAAAACTTGTTCTCTAGTTACATTATTTTTATGCATGATCCATACACTTGGCTACATCCTCTCTCTTACTGTCCTTTCTGCCCTAATTCAAGAACCCGAAAGTATGTTTTATGTTAATACCTCTGTAATACTGCTAGTAATGATAACTTTTGCTATGAAATCCCTGGTTTGCTGTCCCTGGTTGTGGCAGCAGAGAGGTGTGACTCCTGCTTGCCTGCCTCGGGGTGTGTGGCAGTAGTGGTTCCTGCAGTACCAAAAAGGAGGTGTATATCCCTTTCTGTAGCCTATGTTCAGTTTTTAATAACACCCTTACAGAGAAAGTGAGTATTCTGTGTTCCTGCTGGTCACTGGAAGCTCTCACTCATCTTGTGATGCCACAACATTTATTCTTACACCCAAATTATATCCCAGCACCAACCTATGAAGCTATGATGAAAAAACAGTGGCATTTTAGATACCGCTGGTATCTCCAGACTCCTTCTCAGTAGTAGATGATAGAACAGGCTTCCAGGTCTGTTGAGGCATTTGTTTGTTATTAGATACCAGTTGCATGGTGGATTAAAATAAGGTTTCCTTATCCTGCCAGTAAAGGGTAAAGCTTTTGTTTGTGTGCTGAAGGAAAATACAGTTGTCCCACGCAAAATCACAGCTGTGGACATGGTGACAATATTAACAAACTGGAGAAAAAGCACTTTGCAGGACTTCAAAAAATATAATATTGTGAACTCTTAACAGAAGATTTTTCTCTTCTCCCAAATTTTAAAACCTCAAAGTTTCCCTCAAAGTTTTGTGATGTGGGTGCTGTGACTGTCACGGTGGCTGTCTGCTGTGACGAGACTGATAGCTGGCTTCTCAGCCTCTGGAGAATAATGTCCTGAACCTAAAAGCATCAGGGTTGTGCAAGTGACATTTTTCTGTCCCTGCAGCTCCCCTTACATCAGCCTACCAGAGGAGAGGGTTGTGTTGGGGCAGCAGGGGGGCTGGCTTGGATGAAACGTGCTTGGGGCTCGCTGGGTACTCCCAGTGCCCCTGAACCCCTCTCCAGACTTGAACTATGTTCCTGCTGAGTCAAAATTTGGCTTGTAAACACCCAGATGTTCGAAGAAAACTTGTAAGTAGAAGAATACCCACTAGATGGCATAGATGGCTTGCAAACACAAGCAGAAAGGAAGCCAGATGCAACCTGTTAGTAGTGGTATTTATCACTTGCATTATTGCAACATCAGGGGGACTTAGAAACGGATCTGGATACTGTTGGATGAAGTGCTGTAAAAATGTAGACCTCTAGGAACACTGTGGTCTAGAAGAGCCCTATACAATCTCCAGAGTAAGGCCGGAGACAGTAAGTGGATGTGGAGAGACAAGGAGGCTCAGGTACTAAGGCGGAAAGGAGTGTCCCCAGGGTTTTGCATGCAGACATCCTGTTTATAAAATCAGGACGCGGGGAATCTGGTGGCGAGCTCTTACAAAGAAACTTCTAGCTTAGCACTGCACTCGGCCTGCAAACTTCGTCCTTGGCAACAAACCCCTGATATTTAGAAGAATCCTAACTCAGCTCTGTGCTGTGAACATCCTGTTTGTTTTCTTTTCCCTAGATCTGCAGCAGCAGCACAAAGAGGACTCCTATCTTCAAACAGAGGAGGCAGCTGGGACAAGTTCATGTTTGTTTCCTTTGTAGGCTTTTTATTGAGGTTTGCTTTAGTGCACTAAGTTAATCAATCAACTGAATCCATATCCTCTGTTTGCCTTAGCTGACTATAAATTTGGCTTTAACTGATGTCTAACTGCAATTTCACACTAGTTCTGGGACTGGCAAACCTGCGTATTAAAACACTGCGTACTTCTGTTGAGATACCAACTACTTTTAACATCAAAAATTATTCTACTGCTTCCAGAAATCCTCACCCTTCGTTTCCTTTCCTTGAATAGAAACAACCCATTGCTATTTCCACTTACCCCTATTGTCCCGAATTAAACTGAGACTAATACTTCCTGTGTAAGTAATTCAGAAAGAAAAGTGAAACTACGTCTGTCACACATCTCCCACCCAGTGTCCTCCTTCGTAAAAACAATCCTAGTGTCTGGCCTTGGAAACTAAGAGTCTGATTCTCATGTATGGGGAAGGGGAAATACGAACTCGGATGAGAGAGAGCTTAGATTGCTCACTTGGTGCAAGATACAAGTGAGACAATGAAAAAATTAAACTCATTTTCATAAAAGGTCCAGTACTTGGGCCAAACTTACCTGAAACTATGATACAGAGAGGTTCTGGCTTGCATACAGTATTATACCACATACTCGATGATTGCTTCGTCACCCGCACAGCTGTTCCTCAGCTGGCCATTTCCTGGCCACTGGGTAGCCAAGGGTCAGGAATACCAGGTCTGGAAAGCTCCGTGGGTTTTTCACCGTGATGTGCTTTATGGCATATTGAATTCAGACAAGAAGCTGCCAAGTCAGACATCTGCCTGCTCGCAGTGAGGATGCTGCAGAACATACTGAGGAGACAGCGGATGCCCTCGTGAAGGTCTCCCGTGTTACTTCTGTGAATTATCTAGGTGTTCCAGCTCGATGCTCCTCTAAACCACCAAGACACCCAGCTACCAACATGACACATAAATCTTTGGAAAGAAATAGTTGTTCTTCTAGAAAATAACTTTCAGTAGAATTTTCTTGCATGTTCTCTGTTAGCTTCTGTATTATTTATTTTTGTTTGTCGGGAAACTGGAATTGGATGTTCCTGTTACCTCAGTGCGTCTGATTTAGGACTGCACAGTAGATTTCTGTCCTTTCAGTCCCTGGTACAACTACATCATGTTGTATGTTTGAAAGATAAAATAACTGAAATTTGTTGTTACTTACTTGTCTGCCTTCCATTCTTTTAATAATATTTAATTTGGTTTTAATGCAAATCCCTTTATATTACACACATAGTTGCGTGTCTCCGTGTCACGGGTGGGTTCAGACTCCAGCTTGAAGGATTTTCGTGCCTGTTTGAGACACTTGCAAAAGTACTGAAATTAGAAGTTACAGACCTATTAAAATCTGGGCTGTATTACACCTCAAAAATGTTCCTTCCCTGTGCTGAAACATTAGTCCTTCGATTGGTTCCTTCAACATCCTCCTCATTTTTACTGCTTGTTTGACGCAGTCCGTAACAGCAGCTGCCAGAATAATAAGAGAGGTACCTGTTTGTCACACAGACACAACTCAGACAATTAAACCCAAGCAATTTTGATAAGACTGTTTGTCCACCACATCATGACATGTTTTGGACCACGGGCTGTAGAGACAGTGCACATGAGGCTCACAGACAGGTGTCCCTGCCATCCCTGTGCTGTCCTACCCACTGACCTGCATATTATAGCGTGTCCGGGATGCAGAGATTAGCTGAATTATGGCCTTAACGAGCCATATGCCTCTTAGGCAACTGCCATCCACGAGCTGAGCATCCCAGCTGGCTGGATCTTGCTTTCCAGCCGATGAAAACTTTCCAAGCCTCTGGATGCAGTCCACCCCCGCAGCCCAGCCGGCGCTGGCCGTTACGTATGAAACCACACACACCGTAGGAAGTGCAAAATGGTTCTGTTTTGAAAAAAATAGTAAAAAGCAAAGTAGGATAGATGTGATTCAAATAATTTGAGGTTATTTACTGCATGACCTTACATCAAAAACACCCTCAGAAAACTCTTGCAGTGTTTTCTTACTTCTAAGAAATAAGATTTCTTGCCTCTTCTCCCATTACTTAAACTCAGTAGCAAAGACAGCAATTTTTTTTTTCCAATATCTTTCGAATAAAGTGTCTCAAACTTGCTTGAAAGGCTTGGGAAGGTCTGTAAAGACTTTTAGCTAACCAACTAATATAGCTGGGGAAAAAAAAAAAAAAAAAAAAGGCGGCAAAATTTTAGATGTATCAGCTTCCTGAGATCTTAAAGGCAGCAAATTTCAAGCTGAAAGTGGATCAGTGGTTCTGAGTTTATATAATGGTTTTAATCTGTGCAAAACACCAGTGCTTCTGGCATCTCAGAGGGGCAGCAGTGTCAGCAAAGCGAGCAACAATACGGTCATTTGTTACTCGTGGAGGGAGGGAGAGAACAAAAGTGAACAAAAAGTTTCGAGCAAGAGAATCCCTTGTATCTCTTTTTTTTTATTTCCACATCTACAAAGTGTGTGAATGGTGCTATTTACACATATATTTTACACTTCTGGTGAGAAAGAGAATCCCTTATATCTCTTCTTTTTATTTCCGCATCTACAAAGTGTGTGAATAGTGCTATTTACACATATATTTTACACTTCTGTGGTGAGAATGAGCTACGTCTGCCTGGGCTCTTGTCTTGAATGCTCAGTAAATGCTCTGATTAGCAATGTCTGGTGTAACAGCTGTAGGAAATTTGGAGAAATCATCACGTCTAAAAGGCATCTGCCCTTCTACATAGGCTCATGCAAGCCTGCTGATGTTCAGCAGGGTGCTTCAAGATGCTTCATACATTCGTACTTGTACCAGCAGCACTGCAAAACCAGCTGTCTCTGGACCAGAATTCAAGGGGGAAAATGTTCAATATGAAAACATTATGTACATCACTTCAATAATACTTCTTCAGTAATATTTCTTGCCTTTGCCTGTTTTGTGGACCACTTAAGAACTCAGTTACGTCACGCTTTCATTCCTAATATTGAAATAAATATAATCCCCCCTTCTGCTAACTTACTTATATTTTTTTTTCCTGCTGCATGTGTTCTGGTCGTTGTATCTCACAGAAACCGAACTCTCATTCATAATAATTCATTTTTTTCAGCATGTATGTGCATGCACACATATACATCTGCTTATACCTGCTCTGTCTACTTTTAAATGCAAACTCTGGAGTGCTCTGGAGTAAGAAGTTATGAGAATAAAGCAAGGACAACTTGTTCACCTCTCTGCCCCTTTTATGCTGCTGGTGTTTATTTTTGTCATATTGGCCTTGGTGTGATCTGCAGCTGACACGACTGTGTTTCCGATCTCAAATGTAGTGAAACTTGAACTGAAACCTCAAGAAGTTGTCTAATACTTATTGTTCAAGGATAGCTATCATTCTCAATAGTTTTCCTTTCGATTGGACTAGCTAGAAATAATTCTGATGCATTCTGCTTCAACAACAGAGAGTGTAAAGGGCTTTTAGCAGGGCCAAGAACTTTGGTTTAAAATAGCTTGGTGTGGGGAGGCACGGCATCTTAATTTAGGCAAATGTTAGGGTGGCTCAAGCACCTTAAGAAACGTTATTCTGATTTTCAGGTTTTTCCTAATTCCAGCTTCTGCCGAGTCTAAATTTACTCACCATTTTATGTGAGAAGTGGGGAATATAATCTGCCAGACTTTATTTATACTCTGCAGGCGTTTGATTTCCTATGGTTCTCTGTGAATTTACAAAGGGGAGCTCAGAGGAGACCCTCGTTCCCCCCCGCCCCCAGCAGCTCAAGTACAGGCTGGCGGGGAGGGGGGCGCAGGGAACTGGCCCCTCTTCACCTTCCTCCTCCTCTCCTTCCCGCAGCAAAGGTGAACCTGATCTCACTGCAGGGGAGCTGCTTCGTATTTTTAGCAGAGTGCTTGAGTGGAAAAGCTACCATGTTGGAAGTTTTATAGAAGGAAAATGAAGGAGGAAATCGTATTTAAGAATACACATTGCCTTTAAGTAATAAGGCACCGAAGTCAAATAACTAGCCCTTGACTTGTGACCATTAGACTAGGAATACCTCCAAGCTATGGAAGTGGTGTGGTCGAGTTCCCAAAGTGCAGGCAGAGGGGATGCTCCAGAACTGTCTATCTGGAGTAGCTCAAGTTATACCACTAGTTAGAATAATTAAGAAAGAAATAAGTATTTTTTCATCCAGTAACTGTGTTTGCCTGGGCATCTCTTAGTGATTACACCTGATAAGAGTCTGACATCAGGTGCTAATGAGTGCTTGGATAAGTAATTAATATGGAAAGTCAGGTATTGCAGGCATAAGCTAGGATGATACATCAAGAATTTGGCAAACAGTGGATTGCCAAACTGCAGGGGGAATCTTCTTTTCCCATTTGCAACAGGTAAAGCCAAGAGAGGTCCTCAAGGAAATGACAGGTATTCTGTGTGATGTGCTATGTCAGGGTACAGGTGGGGAAAAGCTCCTAGGTCACACTATGCCGTTTTCAAAACCAGCATGTGAAGAAGCAAATGAGCAAAAAATAAGTATTTAAGGAAAATCTTGCAATCTCATATCCCAGCTGCAGAACGTGCTGGCCTGTGTCATGCTTCATTCTTACTCTTCCTTTTGTTTAAATGAAAGAAGCCAGAAAATCCAGCACTGGGATTTCTGTAAAGCAGAATGAATGCTCCGGGCTTTCACCCCAAATTTTCTGTCACCACTGCCCATTAGCATGGGGTTACATACAAAAGGAGCTGCTGGAATAGTATGAAAAAGGAGTGATGACAAGCAAAGTATGTCATATAGTATGCAAAAAGAAGTTAAGGACAGTAAGAATAACCAATAAACTTGGAAGCCGCAGCAACGACTCGTGGACAAATATTTATATGTGTGTATACAAAAGCATATTTTACATAGCTAGTAAGCAGGAAATACCTTGTTTTTCAAGTTTCTTGTTTTTTGACCTTTGAATCATCACTTGGGTGCTTTCCAAGTGGCAGATCTAACTTCTATAGTCTTTATAGGAGAACTTTTGCCATTTAGACACTCCTGTGCCTGCAGAGCATACTTCTCTATCGGTTTTGTTTCCCTGGCTGCCTCAGTGGGATGGGAGCCACTGGGTATTTCCCTTCAGAGTGTGTGAGCAGCATAATAATTGGGACTGGCCAAAAAACAAGCACTCAATTTCATGAAAGTCAGTGAGGTGACTGCATTTGCTTTTCCTCTGCACTGAAGCTAAACCCTGAAAAAACGTTTTGCCCTAAAGAAAAGTACAACAACCTCATCAGAAATTAGGGTACAATCCTTCACTGCAAACTCTTCTACTGCAGCTGTTCCATTTTGTACAAATTAAACATCTCTTGAGTAAAAAGAAAATGTTTTCTTCCATGTTGAATCGTGATTCATTAAATGTGGGTCCCCTGCTCTGCAGATCAGTGCTTTAAATGCTGTACTCTTAAATGTGTTTGGAGTTTTTTTTAAATTTGTCTACGACATAATTTTCTGACATGTCTAATGTTTCTAAATAGCCATATGAAAAAAAGGTAAAGGTGATAAAGAAGAACAAAGCAACCTGTTTCCTCGGCCTGTTCTGGAGCCACTCTGTAGCTCGTGTCCCCCCTCCACCTCCTTCCCCACCAGCAGTGTGTTGGTTTGTAGGGGATCTCTCGGCACGTGGCCCTTGTGACCTGAGAAAAATCAGTGCACAAACCCCGGCTATGTCTTTCTTTTGTTATAAACCCACAGCAGGAAATTCTTTGGGCAGCAGCAAAGCTTAGGAAGCACCTGCACAAGCACCAGGCTCTCCCAGGGAAGGGGAAGGAGCAGATGGACTGACACTCAAGAGAGCCAGCAGGGGAAACAAGCACAGAAACAGGAGGAAGAAGCTTGGTCCAAAGAGGGAGAATGTTTTGGACCCTTTGGGATCTTTGTTTGCAGTAAACAAAGCAAAAAAAAAAAAAGAAATCAGTCATTAGTGTCTGTTGTCCTGTCTTACACTGAACAGCACAGTCAGTGCTGTCACGGCTCCAAAGGAGCTCGCCCAGCCACAAGCAGAGAAGAAAGTGCTCATCAGACAGACAGAATCACAGAATCACAGAATCTTCTAGGTTGGAAGG